GATTAAACATAAGCCACAAGTGACAGATGCATTCAAATTTTTCAATGTGCAAATGCAAGTTCAGAGTTTTTAATATTTGTATTTTGCATTAAAAAAAAAAAAAAGAAAAAAAAACAACAAAAATATAAATTAGCGTATTTTATGATTTTATAAAATACCAATCTATATATATATATACAGTACATATATGTATGTATGTGTGTATGTCTCTTTTTTGTATTTTGTACCGTCAAAAATCGTGTAAAATTCTCATACAAAAAAACTCAAAATGCTATATATATACATATGTATGTATGTATATGTATATTTGTATATATATGTATATATACATACATATACATATACTATTTTCTACAGTTACTATATTACACAATTTAAACAACAGAAGAAAGAGCAAATGCGTCGAAAGTAATTGTAAATTTGTGCATTCAAAAGTTTTGCTTCCTATACAATAACATAAAAAAATAAAAATAAAAAACAATTATTAAATATGCAGAAGAAGAAGAAAGAAAACAAAGCAAATACACATTTTACCAGATTACCAAAATTAACATGAAAATATATATGTGTGTATGCATATATACATATGCATATGTAAACCAAAAAACAACAAAAATCATTTCTTTTCAAAATTAAAAAAAGAATATTTTACTAAATAAATAAATAAAGAAAAAATAAAAAAAAAACGATAAAAATCAAAATTCTAAAATGTTTTCTTTATTTCGAGGCTTGGGCAAAATTGATTTTTTTATTTTTGAATAAAAGTGTTTATTTTCTTGTTTCAGAGCTAAAAGTTGGCAAGAAATATATTATAAAAAAAAGTGAATTACTTTTACATAATTTACAAAAATTTAATACATTTAATAAAAAAAATCCAAAAATAAATACAATTTGTAAATTATAAAAATATTTAAAATATAAATGGATTTAAGTAAAAAGTTGCAGTTCGAGTAAAGCCATAAATTCTATCGTCGTGTAACGTTAAAAGAAACACACTTATTTTAACGGGGGTTCCAAAAATCTTTATTGGGATTAATTTTTTTTTTCTTTTTTTGCTTATCGTTTTCAATAATTTCTTGTACATTTAAAATGTAAGAATTAAATAGTGAAATGACCGAAAGAAAAAAACCGTTAGCATTGGCCAGCTGGAATTACCCGACTTGTGCATCTATTATAATACTCGCGTTATAGCTACTAACTTCTAGTTTCTTTATCTTTTTTACGTTTTTCACGTTTTTTTTTTATTATTGTTTCTTGGGAAATAATCGTAATCGTATTTGATATTTAACATTTTTATAATATTATAATTATATTATA